CTCCGTTGCAACACACCCAGAAGGCACACTCTGGGGGCGTTTTTCTCCTTAAACTTACTTTATTTGGCAAGTTTTCACAAGGCCATCCTGTTCAAATTTTGCAACTATGCCTTTTACTGTTTGCATCTTCCCAGAAAAGCTCAGCGAAGAGAGCAGGTCTCCATCATCATTACTTTAGATACAGAAAAGATTTGCTCGAGGCTCCAAATTACATACAAGCTATCCCTCTCTATCTTTTCCTGGAACACTCTTCTTGGCTACCACAGTGGCAAGAGTCCCAAAAGTCTGTCCCCAGAGGCAGGACCGTTCACCACTGAAAAGTCTGTCAGCTTCTTGTTTCACCTGATTCACATCCTCAAAAGGGTTTTCCTCAGAAAGAATTTGTGAGATCTGACTGGGCCTTTGTATACGTCTGCTATCATAAGGAAATCCAAGCAAGTATTGTGAGCAGTTATCTCTTTGGCTATCAGTAATTGCCTCCCAAGTTCTAGCAGCACACATTTCAAGCCCGTTTCTGAGTAAGTGCCTGTTTCATATATATTATCTCTTCCTGCAACTCATTGCATAGCTCAGCTGGGTAACTGCTTCTTCCCCAAGCACACTTGGTTTTTCTCAGGCTTTTTTAACCAGTTCTGTGATTTCCACTCACCTAGAAAACCTGGTTGTTACACATAATAACCAGCCTTGCAGCTAAACTTGCTGTGACTTACTAAGAATGTAAACAAACCGGTCAGACTTACGTATTTTGCTTTGATAACCTTCTAAATTGGGTATTCCCTTAGGAAATGTTGACATAGCTATCAGGAAGCCTTCTGTTTGTAAACGACCTTCTGGGTTTTGAGCAATATTTTTTTTTCAGAATAGTCGCAGATAATTGAACTGTTTTCCTTACGCATTACTGCTGATTTCCTCTGGTTTATAAACTGAATAATCATTGTTGCCAATGTGTTTGGCAAATGTCATGACCTATTTTGGAGCTCCCCTGTTCAGTCACACCTATTAGAAATAGAATTATATTCACAGGCCCTAGAACAATCAATTTTTCCTTTTCCCAGCAGTGGCAACGTTTTTTGTTCATGAGCTGCTACAAAAATTGGTAAAACTCTATGGTAAATTCCACAATTTCTCAGTATGTCCTTGTCTTTCTTTTGCTGATCTTCACTTGCAAATCGAGTCTACCCAAGTAGTAATAAATCAATTTATTGCCAATTTATCTGAGAAGTCCTAATTTGCATCAAACATAGCAAAAGCCCAACTTTGTTTACATATTACCTTTCTGTCCAGATTTCCACTATTTCCCAGCCAGGTTAAGCTGGTGGCTGATTTGAAACAAAATGTCAAGGGCTGTACGGTCTCTATTTTTTTCTGGACGTAGATTTTGAGTATCATCAAAATTATATTAGCCAACTTTGATATGACATAATCCCATTTCTGTCCATCCCCTGAGCCAGTGATTGTGATGCTGATGGTAAACTGCGCTAAACTGAACATCCAAACAGTTTTGCAGCATTTTGCATTGATTAGTATGAGCAAAAATAATCCAGAATGCCTCCAAATTAGGCAACTGTTGGTAATTACTTGTACTTTCTTACTGATCCAGTCCCAGGTCTGTGAATTTTTGATCTTTTTCTCCGTGTTTTTCATTAGCCCCTTAAGTTGTTTTAACTAGGTCCAGTGCTCTGTTTTGTGATGAAAAATCAGTTTGCTTTCCAAGATCACAAATCTGCAAGCCAGAAAAGAACTGAATCAAGTCTCTACATCCAGGTTTACTGGTGTAACTACTGGCCTGAATTACTCGAAAAACAAGGCAAGCATTACAAACCGAAGTTGATCAGACAGATGTTTATCTTTAGAAAGACATGCTTAATAACTTTTATCTTTTGGAATACATGCTTAATAATGTAGAAATATTTCACAGAAACACTAATGTAAGCATAATCGTGAAGGAAAACTTATCAAAACATTTGTTTCATCAAAATGACTTGTAAAAGCAATAAAATTCTGACAGCAAAGCAATAAAATTGAAAGAGTACTTGTCTCTTTTTCAGACTGACTCTACCTCTTTTATTGCTCATAACTGATTAACTGTGATATGGGGCTGTATTCATCTTCCCCACCTTTGAAAAGGAGGCTGACTGGCTCACAGACAGCAAGAAATCTTTGGAAACGACAACTTCTAGCTACGTACCTGATCATCCCAATGAATTTGTTGTAAATTGTATGCCAACTCTTCCCTGTGCATGTTTCAGTAGTAAAGTGAATGGTATGAGGCATAATTCATTACAGATCATGTGGATTTTGAGATACTTCTCAACTCATGTCTGAATATTTAATCAGTGTGCATAAATCCACATGTTTATGGCACCACAGGATATAAACCAGTGAAGAATCAGATATGCCACCCAGGCCTAACTGAAGGGTAGCTCAAAAGTCGGGATTGCCTTATTTATACCTTCTTGGTACAACAAGAGAATGGATTTTTTTTGACTGATTATTATATTTTGCCTTTCTTCTGCAAAAACTTAGCTTTCCAGCAAAACCATAGTATCTCACTGCTAATACTGTTAAATACGTTCATGATTTTCTCTTGGACACTCTATGCCTTTCACAGCAATAGTCAAGTCACTCACCCCAATATCCATTTTGTTCTTAGTATGGACATTTCATGGAATCCTAGACTGGTTTGGGTTGGAAGGGACCTTAAAGATTATCCAGTTCCACCCCCCTGCCATGGGCAGGGCCACCTTCCACCAGCCCAGGTTGCCCAAAGCCCCGTCCAACCTGGCCTGGAACCCTTCCAGGGAGGGGGCACCACAGCTTCTCTGGGCAGCCTGTGCCAGGGCCTCACCCTCCTCACAGGGGAGAATTTCTGCCTTCTGTCTAATCTAAGTCTCCCCTCTTTCAGATTAAACCCCTTACCCCTCATCCTATCCCCACACCCCTGAGTCCCTCCCCCGTTTCCTGCAGCCCCTTTCAGCCCTGGGGGGCCGCTCTAAGGTCTCCCCGGAGCCTTCTCTCCTCCAGCTGAACCCCCCAACTCTCCCAGTCTGTCCTCACAGGGGGGCTCCAGCCCCCCCAGCATCTCCGTGGCTCCTCTGGCCCCGCTCGAGCAGGTCCGTGTCCCTCTGCTGTTGGTGCCCCAGAGGTGGACCCAGCCCTGCAGGGGGGTCTCCCAGAGCAGAGCAGAGGGGGAGAATCCCCCCCTGGCCCTGTGCCCACCCTGCTCTGGGTGCAGCCCAGCACACCGTTGGCTTTCCGGGCTGTGAGCACACATTGCTGGCTCACAGTCAGTTTTCCATCCGCTAACAGCCCAAGTCCTTCTCCTTGGGGCTGCTCTCAATCCACTCCTGGCCCAGCCTGGAGTTGTGCTTGGGATTGCCCCGACCCATGGGCAGGACCTTGCCCTTGGCCCTGTTGAACTTGTCGCATGGTCCCACCTCTCCAGGCTGTCCAGGTCCCTCGGGATGGCACATCCCTTCCCTCCAGCCTGTCGGCTGCACCACGCAGCTCAGTGTTGTCAGTGAGCTTGCTGAGGGTGCCTCAATCCCACTGTCCATGGCACCAACAAAGATGTTAAACAGCACTGGTCACAATAAAAATGGTAGGAGATTGGGATAATGAAGAGCAAGAAGATCAAAGTTTACCTGAAAGCTATGAAATATTTTCAGAGAACATCCTCTTCCATGAGGGAAGAAGGAAGAAGAAGGATGGAAAGAACAAAGGAAGGAAATGAGGTAGGAATGGAAGGAAGAAAGGAGGAAAGGGATGGCAGAGAAAGCAAAGGAAGGAAGACATGAAAGAAAGAGGGAAGGAAGAGAGAGGTCAGAAGTAAGAAGCAAACTTTGGGGTGTAGCTGCTTGTGCCGTTCCTGTATGTTGGAGAATCTGGAGACCTGATAAACTGAATACTAAATTTATTCTTTCATAAATAAATTAAAAAATATCCTTTCTTTCCTCAGAAACTATGAACTAAACATGTTTTGACAGATCCCTTTAGTTCACCACTGAAAACAGAAGGCATGTATTTGCTATTAAAAGGTATCAGAAAGGGAATATATTTTTAAAGAAATCAAAGCCCTTTCTAAGGTGAGAAACTGTGAGGAGGAGGAAGAGGTTTCAGAGGAGAGGTTTCTAATACTCGCTTTCATCAGAGCTAAAACATTTGGTAGGATTTGGCTTCCCCT